CAGGATGGAACATACCTGGGTGCCTCTGGCTGGCACCTAAGTCTGTGGGGGCACCTTCTTGTCAGTAGCAAAAGGTCCCAGCTGGAGAGGAAAGCAGGACAGATAGAATCACCCTCAGATATCTTATCTCCACTTCACAGAGAAAATACAAGCCATTACTGGGAGATGTAATGAGACCAGCATGTCTGTGTGCCCCCATCGTATCTCTGCCCTGCTGTCCTGAGCTCCTCCTCTTGGCTCATCCCAAGCCCTGTGCTCAGGTGCATTCTCTGCTCCTTTTCACTGACTTTCCAGTGGCTTCTACCATTCAGCATATAAATATACTCAGCCCTTCCTCTTACCTGTGTCCTTGCCTGCTTTAGCTCTCATCCTGTATCTTTCTCAGAACAGCTTTATTGAGATACAACTCACATACCATACAGTTCACCCATTTAAGTGCACAGCTCAGTGGTGCTTGGTACATTCACAGTTGTGCAGCCTTCACCACAATCAGCTTTATATTTCTTTCTTGACACAGCCGTATGCCTGCTACGGGCTCTGTGTGGTGTCTCGTCTATTTCCCAGTTCTCAGTGCGCCGCATTCTGGCTCTGCTCTGGCGTAGGCCACCGGGGACACTCACTGCCCACCCCGGCCTTCCTTGCCCAATCATGCTGGACACTGCACTCTGTGTTGGACACAGTTTATCCGTCTCCGTAGGGCTGTATGCGCTGCACCCAAATGTCCCATGGGTACTTCAGATACAAGACATTCAGGCTCCCTGCACACCTCTTCCCAGCCCGTCCCCTGGACCCCAGTGATGCCACCACCATCTCTACGCCGCTACCTAACTGGGCGCCTGGAGGTTTTGGTGCTCCCCTTCCCCAGACCCCATCTAAGAGGAGCGGCTGTCATTTCTGCTCCTGACTTTGGATCTGCCTTCTGTCCAGCCCATCGCCATCCCGAGTTCTAATGTCTTTAGCTCCGCTGGTCCCTCCCTCATTCTCAGCCACACACGTTCTCCCTGCCACAGTCAGTCCACCTCTGAGTCACAAGTCCGAGCATTCATTTCCACTGCCTGACCCTTCCATGGTTTCTGATGGCCTGCAGGAGAAAAGCCGATTCCTGGTTGAGATAATCAGGGTCCTTCATGACTTGGGCCAGTTTTCTCTGCAGCCTCGCTTCTCACTGCACCCACCAGTGCCACCTGCGCCAGATCGCTGGGTGGTTTCTGGAAGCGCCTCCTGTGGGGCCTCCAGGAGGCTGTCCCCTGCGTCCTTCCCGAGTATCTGCCCAGCAGACTCGATGTTCCTTGAGGACGGTCTAAACTTCAGAACTGCTGACCAATTCTCACCTCCACATGGAATGGGGCGCCCTTTCCTCTGTGCCCCTCTGCACCCGTATAGACTGCAGCCTTGGGTTTCTTTTTACGCGGCTGCCCCGCTCCTTGGGTGGGCCATGCGTTACTCCCATTTGTATCTTAGAGCCCAGTGGTACCTGGTGCCCAGGTCTCTGGTGTGTGTATGTAGCGTGAGCTGAGGAAGTGTGTGAAGGCACGTCTGGGTGGGCGTGCTTCCGGAGGCCCCACTTGGTGCCGTGACCGTGGGCTGTGCTGTAGCAGAGCAGAGACCCTTAGAAAAGAGCCACTTTCCCGTAGGAAGAGCAGCAACCTCCACCAAGTGTGTTTCTGTGTCATTTGGTAAACCACAGTTTAAGATAGAGCTGTTAATGCACAAGGAAGCTCTGCTGTAGGTGAGGTGCTGGCCCCCTCTCCTACCCGCCTTAACCCGCATCTCAGGAGGAGGCAAGGGGCCGGACTTTGGTTCTCGACCTAATGGGTCAGCTAGAGTCCTAGTGTTTGAACGTGGAGTGGGGCCTGGCCTCGCCCCACTCCTCACCTGACTGTTGCTACTTCGTATCTAGCTGGTGGGGCTCTCAGCCCTTTTCTGGAACGTGAGGCCCTCATTGCTTTTCCCCCTTCCCAAGCACTGGTCACCCCGGAAGCTCGCAGACCGGATATCCTGGGCAGCCACCAGCTGGTGATCATTGTGGGGATTGTCTGTGCCACTGTCCTGCTGCTCCCCGTTCTGATACTGGCTGTGAAGAGAGCCCGCGGGGACTCGAGGTACAGGGGTGCTCTTGCCCTCGGGTGGGAGGCTGGAGGCGCAGGCTGCCCCTGGCCTGAAGGGGAGGGGCGGTAGGCCCTAACTGCCGTTTCTGCAGAAGGGCTGTTTCAGGATGGACCGTGTTCCACGGGGGATGTTGCACTAGATGTCCCCTGGGCAGCGGCCCGCCCCTTGGCTCCTGGGGCACCTGGCTCGGTCTCACTTCACCACATTCGCTCTGGTGTTTTACACAGATTACCACCTCTTCTACACAAGGTGGTCTAAGTAGGGCATAATTAAGGGTATAAATCTTAAGCACAAACTAATGGTGCCATTCAACACCTGTTTGTTTGTTTGTTTGTTACCCTCACCTGAGGATATTTTTTCCATTGGTTTTTAGAGAGAGTGGAAAGGAGGGAGGGGGAGAGAGAGAGACATTGACGTGAGAGAGACACATCATTGATTCCCTCCTGCATGCGCCCCAGCTGGGGTGGGGAATGAGCTGGCAACCCAGGCACATGCCCTTTACCGGGAATCGAACCCACACCCCTCAGTGTGTGGGCCGATGCTCTAACCACGAGCAACACCGGCCAGGGAGAGAAATGATTTAAAAAATACATTTTTATTGATTTTTAGAGAGAGAGGGAGAGAGAAACACTGATGTGAGAGTGTAACAATTGATAGACTGCCTCCTACACACCTCCCACTGGGGATCGAGCCCACAACCCGGGCATGTGCCCTGACCAGGAATCAAACCGTCGACCTTCTGGTGCACAGGATGACACCCAACCGAGCCACACCGGCCAGGACTGAGACATGATTTTAAAATTTATCTACAATATAAACTTCATATAGAAGCTCAGATCTCGAGGGCTGTAAGTGGCTTTATTTAAAGGACCACATTCTAATTATGACAGGCTATTTTTGAAGGATGCCCTCAAGTCCTAAATTACTTATTGGTGAAATGTATTTTTAAAGGCTTGAATTTCATCAGGACTTCTCCCATTATCTTAAAAATGCCCAGATGCTCTGACATGGGCACTAGTGTTTCATCGGCTGTTGACGGGTACATTCCTCAGGTTACCAACTGCTGATTAAATATGTTGCTTGGGGCAGTTGACTCTTGTTGAAATCGTGTCAGTGGAAAAGGGCCTCATTAAGACTAAATAATGCTGACTTTCGAGTCTCCTTCCCCATTGAACGGGGACTCTACAGAAACTGAGCGTGCCTGCCATGTTTGCCCTTCCACCCCGCAGGGCCCTCTGACTGGGTTTGGATCTTGGTTGGCTCCTCTGAGGGCCTTTGCTCTGGGCAAGCTGGTCGCACTGAATTGAGAGTTAGATCACCTGGGTCCCATGTCTGCTCCCTCTCCCTCTGGGCCTCAGCTCTTCTCAAAACAAAGAGCAGCACTTCCATGGCCACTAGTTTATTCTAAAGAAATAATCAGACCGACATGCTATGTGCATAAATATGGCCCCTGTAACCTTGATTATAATTAAAAATTGGAATCATCCTCAGTGTCTGTCAGAAAGGTGATGGGTCAAAGCGCTGGTGTCCACTCAGTGAGAGAGCCCCTGGCCCGGACGTAATGGATGGCAGATGTCGGTCCTGTGACAGAGTGTGCAGTATGGCCTCGTGTAGAAACAGAAAGTTCCACAGTGCTCGTTTTAGCAGCATCTGTTCTAATACAGTTTGTGTGAGTGAGCTTATGCTTGCATTGAGAGAGGTCTGGAAGGATAATTCTTAAATATTAAACCTTGCTGACCGTTTATTTCAAGCCAGAACTCGCCTGTGTGGCCGGCTACTTGGGTCAGCAAGGTGTTTAAAATTACTTAAATTAATGTAAGTGCCAACACGAGTTACCTTGTGACCGGTCAGCAACATTTGGACGCGGAGACACGTGTATATGAGTGACCGGTCAGCAAGGTGTTAAGTGGTGTTTGGGATAAGGAGAGGGTGGGTCCCTGAGGGTTAGGGGTTTACTGGAATTTCAGCCCCCGACTGTCTACATTTCTGTATTATTTTAATTATTTAACAGTGAGAATATACAACATTATAATCTTAGAATACAATTAAAATATTTTTATTTGATCCCTGGCCAGTGTGGCTCAGTTGGTTGGAGGTCGTCCTGTGCACAGAAAGGTCGTGGGTTCGATTTGGCTTGGCCCTCTGAGCCGGTGTCTCGCTGAGCGGCGTCCCCCGCTCGTCCAGCAGCGCAGCTTCCCCTCCCTAGTCCTCGGAGGCGATTGTGCCTGGCCCGTGGCCCGGCTCTGGTCATTCCCTCGACGTTGATCTAGACGGGAAGTTACTAGTGTGATAGTGGAGGAGTGGAAGCTGCTGTCCAGCTGCACTGGCTCCAGGATGCCTCCCCTTTCTCCCTCGCGGGAGGCGCACTTCACGGGTGTCTCGGTGAGCGGGGCAGGAGTCAGAACAGCCGGCTCTGCCAGCTCCCTCTTCCCAAAGCTTGTAGGCACCGCGGGTATACAGTGCTGGCCGGTTAATCTCACACGCGTTTCCTGCCTTGCAGCTCCCTAACGTCCACTGCCCTGGTAAAAAGCCTGGAGAACACGAAGAAGGCTCACCCCGAGGTAAGAGGAGCGTGCTCTGCTGTTTGCTGCTGTGCCCAGGGAGGGTGAGGTGAGCCCTGCGGCAGTGCCAGGGTGCTGTCATCATTCCTCCGCCTGTCTTACTGTTAGGTCTCAGCACGTAGGCCAGTGGCAGGCACAGGGCATGGGCTCATCACCACTGGAATAAAAGCCCCTGGGGAGTGTGTGGTGGGCAGGCGGGGCCAGTCCAGCACAGTCAGCGCATCCTGGTGGCGCCTGAGGAGAGAGCACCGGACTTGGAGTCAGAAAGCCTCAGTTCAAGCCCAGTTCTGCTACCTCCCTGAGCCTCAGTGTTCTCATCAGATGGGGGCAAACGCGTTTGCCCCATTGTGTGGTTCAAACATCGCGACGATATACAAGTGCTTACTAGGCTCTGAGGCACTGTGTGAATGAAGGGAGACTTATGGTACATGTGGGAGTTAACCGAAGGAGCTAAGGGTTGCGATGAAATCGGGGCCTTTAGAAAGAGAGGCTCAGAGCACGTTTTCCCCGTGCCAGCATCTGAAGCTGTGAGTGATGCTGCGAGGAGCTGGGAAGGGAGGCATTGCCTTGAGCTCCTTTTTGTTAGCTTTGCTTTTTTTTAACTTTTAAAACCCCCTTTTAGATTGTTTACCTTCCCATCTTTTGTCTGTCCGTGCCCCAGGAGGAGGGGTTTTCATAGTGCCGGGGCCTCTAGAGCCCCAGAATTTTCCACTGGCTGACAATGCTTCCCCATAATGACAAAAATGGGAGTCACCAAGTGCCCCAGCCTCACAGGTGTGAGGCTCAGAGGGGGCAATGCCTGCCACCTGGACCCTCCGAGAGAGTGGACAGAAAGTTAATGGCTGACCGGTGCCAGCCATCCAGTGTGGCTGATGAGGAAGGAACCGCAGAGTCGATGTCACGTGGCAAGATAAGGGTTCCTGCTACCACCTGAATGGCTGTCAGACAAAGGCTGTTTGGCTTTTGAAGCAAAGAATTTGGTTCTTAACAGTGCTCTTTGCTGATGAGTTAATTTTCGGGAGCACTGAGGACTGAATTACCGTTATTGATAATGATTCCCTAGCTCTCAGTAACCCTGTGGACCTGCCAGTCTGGGTGGACTCGGGCCTGTGAATAGCAGCAGATGCCTTTTCTCTGTCCTGTAAGAGCCGCTGATTTTTAGGAACGTTTGTACCATGTTCCCCTCTAGAAGCATGTTTATTCCTCAATAACTACCCGGGAGGTGACCGAGGAAGAAGACTCAAGTGACAAATCAGAGGCCACCTACATGACCATGGTGAGGATGGTTTCAGGCCCAGGGAGGTGGGAGGACCTGGGAAGGACGCGGCAAACTCATGGGGGTGGGTATGGCTGGGTCACCTGGGGAGGTAACTGCTGAGGGCAGAGAGTTTTCTAAGTGGGAAAGTCAGAAGCTGCAACTCTGCCGGATAGAAGAGTAATATCAAACTTGCCCCCCCCCCCCAGGC